GGGTCACGTGACATTGTTACTGGACGGCAATAAAACAAAAACGTCCATTTGGCTCCTGTCAGTTGCAAGTCGGATTATACGTTTGCGTTTTGTTTGGTTGTTGAAAATGGTTATTTCGTTGTTCTGTTGGCTGTACGTATAGTATAGACATGGACGAAATGGATCTTCAGTAATATTCCACTGATTTCAAAAGATCCTGAACGTCGCGCAATGTGGATATCATCTATTGCCTATTGGCAGAACTGCTTGGTGTCAAGTCCAGAACCCATCTTACTTGTGTTTCACTGTTTGCGGACAGCACCTCGTTGATGGTGAGTGATAATGTGGTGATAGTGTGCCGTTATCAATTTCTTTAAATATTCACAAGCTCCCTCATTTCAATGGAAAGCAGATGACAAACTACTGTTATCAGTAGGCCTAGGTGTGGGCCTACTTGCAGTTGCAGACTTGACTTGTGTAAGACAGTAAGGAATTAATAATCTAATAATCAACTACTGTTATTAGTAGGCCTAGGCCTAGTTGCAGACTTGACTTGTGTAAGACAGTAAAGAATTAATCTAATAATCAACTACTGTTATTAGTAGGCCTAGGCGTGGGCCTACTTGCAGTTGCAGACTTGACTTGTGTAAGACAGTAAGGAATTAATAATCAATTGCTGTAAGGTATTGTTTCCTGATTAGCAGGTAATCTATTACTAAGTGTGAAAGGTTGAATAGATAACTAAAGTTTAACACCACTGGTCATACAAAACATAACCAGAATTCAATTTAATTCGCCATCTAGGAAAACGCTTGCCACCGCATCTCTGATCACCCTGGTAGTTTCACAGGTTTTAATCCCATGCGGGGATAGTTATGTGCTAGAGGATTGCAGCTCCACTCCCACCGAGGGTGGTTCACATGGCCGCTGATCGGTTACGACCATTCACCACCATCCAAGTCCATGCTTCTGAAAACAAATAACTGGCTCCCCCCCCCCCCCCCCCCCCCCCCCCCAGATAAATCCTATCCTAATGGTGCTTGTACAACTGATTCAAAATGTCTTTTTATTGTCATTGGTAAAAAAGGTATGCTACCCGGAATCAAATTCATTTACGACTAGTGGCTGTGGTGGGATATGGACATAAATTTTACCCGGGCTGGGCATTTCCATTCGAATCGAATAGTAAATTATTCGAATCGGTTCAGACTGGAATTTCGAATCGCCGCCATCTTGTTTTTATCTTTCCGCTAATGGTCGAGGTGAATTCCCCAATTTTTTTTCATTGAAGTCATATTTTTTCAACGAAATTCTAACATATGACTATTTTCTGTAGTGAGTTATTGATAAAACGTGTTTGTTATTCTGTGTGAACGCTCAGTAATCTATCTGAGTGATTTATTCTATGTCTTCAGTAATTCATTTGTTGAGAGGACCAATTACTATGATAAAGTCGCTTACAATTTTATATTTTCAAGTATTCGAGATTCGATTCGAAAAAATTATTCGATTCGATTCTGAAATCACAAGGTATTCGAAAATGCCCAGCTCTAAATTTCACACTCCTTGATCGTTAGATTTTATGAAAACTCTTATCTGTATCCATTATCTTACAGATATGGGTGCGACCATGGAATAGATGGATGGCAAAGTATAAGTTGCAACAAGACCACAGTGGCACAAGACCTCAGCTTGCGTGACTTGATAATACATCCTCAGTATCCATTTATTGATGCTTATCGTAATGACAAAGTAACTTGTCATTACTGTGGATTGGTGGAGACGACCCTATCAAGAAAAAAAAATTGTTTCGGTGGGTTTGGTCGTGAAGGTTTCAGTCTAACGTTGGACACCGATACTACAACCAGATACAGTTGCCAATGAAACTTAAGCGAGGCGTAATATTGCGACTTTGTGATCTGAAAGTAAATTTTCTGATGGGTAGCCAGCTAGCCGCAACCTTTTGTTTAAAGAATATTATGAGATACGACTTAAGAGTCTAAACTTTTATTTGAGAGGGGTGTAACCCAAGCTAATTTGCAAATAGTATTCATGGTACCAAATGTATCACACACTTTACAGTAATTATAAATTATATTTGAAAAATAAAGCACATCAAAAACGTATTTTTAAAAAACAATTGGTTTTATCTGCAGATACTAGGTTGATATTGAGATTGACCATTTCAATGCTAAATTTTCTTTAGTCAAAAGGCACACTTGATTCGCAAAAATTTGTGAATGCGCACAGTACACCAATTTGTCTAATGTTTTGATTCCATAGGCAGGATGTTGTGGATCGGTGCTGCTCAGGATGGGATATTTTTGCCTCTAAATGCATATTACGTGTATTATGTGTTTCACATGAATCCATCGTGCTCAGATTCGACTGTTTTCAAGGTCTGATAGCTCCAACAGCCTTATTTTATGGGTACACAAGAGAATTTTCAGTGTGGCATGCATGGGTCAGTTGGAGTCACTAACCTCAAGATATCTATAAGCAAGGATAAGATAACCTGGAAGTAACATTCCATAATTTGGAGTAAAAAATGTATCTGCCTCCACAGCCCTTTCAAATGAAAGATATGATGCCTCGGGGGTAATTTCTATCAAATATTATACAGTATTATGGTTCTAGTGAAAAGGGGTGTAGGCGGCTTTTTTTTAAAGTGTGGTAGGTCTAGTCGGAAGACACATTAAATGTTTATGCTAACAACTGCGAATTAATATTGCAACGCATACAAGTTAACAGAATTTGTTGAAATGGTCCTGCCTTTTTCCTTTCTTCAAAATCCTCCTTTTTCTAACTATTCTCTTCTTCTCTGGGGATGGCGAAAATTCAAATATCGATGGGACATGTAAGCAGCTGATAATGGGTTATCTTCCCTTTTTCCTGAAAATAAATTAAACACTAATCATCATTTGACAGTGCCAAGTTTGTGTATCAGATCAGTAATAAATTACCTGCTAACTACCAAAATAATCAGACAACACCTTCTGACCATTAATGAAGATTTCTTTCAATTTAAAACGCAACTATGCCTAAAAATGTGGGTAGTTTTTAGGATAGAATTTATCTGTGGTTGGGGACAGATTGCAAGGTGCAACATCGTACGATTACCATTCTATGTCGGGATTAGTTAGCCAGTTATTTGTTTTAGAAGCATGGACTTGATGGTGGGGGATGTCGAAATCGACCAGCGGTCGTGTGAACCACCCTTAGTGGGAGGAGAGCTGCAATCTCCTCGTCCCCTCGCACATACCTATCCCCGCATGGGATTGGAACCTGTGAAACTCCCATGGGGATCAGAGATGCGGTGGCGAGCGTATTCTCAGATAGAGAATTCAATTAAATTCTGGTTATTTTTTGCATTAGCACTGGCATTAAACTTTAGTTATCTATTCAAATTTTCACACTTACTAATAGATTACCTGCTAACTAGGGAAACAATACCTTATGGCAATTATTGATTAATACCTTACACGAGTCAAGTCTGCAAGTAGGCCTAAGCCTACCAATAACAGTAGTTTGTCATCTGCTTTCCATTGAAATGAGGGAGCTTATGAATATTTAAAAAAATTGATAACGGCACATCATGACTCACCATCAACGAAGTGCTGTCCGCAAACAGTGAAACACGAGTAAGATGGCTTCTGGACTTGACACCAAGCAGTCCTGCGAATAGATGATATCCACATTGCGCGACGTTCCGGATCTTTTGAAAACAGTGGAATATAGCTGAAGATCCATTTCGTTGTCTATACTATACGTACAGCCAGCGGAACAATACGAAATAACCATTTTCAACAGCCAAACAAAACGGAAACGTATAATCCGACTTGCAACTGACAGGAGCCAAATGGACGTTTTTGTTTTATTGCCGTCCAGTAACAAGGTCACGTGACCCGTGCAAGTCCTCTATACTATTTACGATTCAATATCATTCAGACCGCAATCGGACGGGGGATTTCCCGCTACAGTTGGATTACCGTATTCGAAGCAAAAGTGCCGCTGCCTGATATAACAGTTTGGGGAAAATCTGGCCTAGCGGTAGGTACCGTAGCCTTTCAGCAGATCAGCTTGAACACATGCGGGTTATCTGAAATATATTAATGCATAAAGACAATGTAGTAGGTATCGGAATGAATTCACAATAAACTGATTCGTGCCCAAGCACTGGAACACAGTACCGGTACGGTACCGTACCTACTGGCATTGTGTATCTTATCTCTGTACCTACCGGTACCGGTACCGTACTACCGATATTTGATTATCCAAGAAGTATTTAATTTGTTGGGTCATGTTCACAACCAGACAACCCACAGCTGCATTTCATGTCAATCATTGTTATTCCATTAATTATTAATGGGTAAGACGAATTCTGGAATTGTGGTACCGGTAGCGGTATTCCATTCCTGTAATCACTTCAAAGTACCTGCCATATTATTTTAAAAGGCACGATACCGTAACAGCGTTTAGTGATTTTTTTTAATTATTGAATAGTCCACATACAGACATAGTAGAAAACCCTTTAAAATTATTTGAAGGTATAAAAAAACGTGCAAAACAGCCTAACTCCAGAACTGTCTGTCTGATGTCAGAATGCTGGAATGTGTGAGGGCATAACGATGTTGTTTAAATTCACTAAGCCTATTTTTCTATCACTCTATTATATCATATAGGATTTACATATTCTTCCTGGGGGAGATGATAGTCGATAATACAGTTCAGTCATATAGCAAACCACGGGCATGGTCTCTCTCCACGTAGGGTATGATATTAGTTAGCCAGTTATTTGTTTCAGATTCACGATGGTGGAGGAAGCCATAATGCACCAGCGTGATGTGAACCACTATGGCTGCAAAGAGTCTGGCAATCCTCTCGCACATAATTATCCCCCATGGGATTCAAACCTGTGAACCCAAGCAGGGTAATCAGAGGTGCAGTGGCGTGCATATTCCAAGCTTAGGACGATGCATCACACCTTGACACCACCGAGCCATGACAGTTGAACATTTCCATGTTTTTTCTCAATTTTTAGTGTTATTATATTACGGTAGTTTTAAAATTCTGTTTTATGCTATGCCTGAAAAGCGACCACTTTATGGTATCATCTGCGGTTACAGACATTTTGCCGCATTGGCAATATGCATATCATTTTTTGCAATCGAAGGATATCTTTTCTCCAGTGTCAGTGGGAAAACAAAATACTATTTGTACAAAGTCCACATCCTAATATTTGTGGAAGTGATGTTTTACCAATTTTCAAAACTTGTTTGGAAGGAATTGGACAAATTATGCCCAGAGGTATTTTGTGCCGAAAAAGTCTGGCGAGGAATGGTTGCTAGCTTTTTATTTGTTGCTCATCTTGGACCATTTTGTACTTTTTATATGTCGAAAGATCCTACCATGTTGGGTGTGATGGCATGGACAAGTTTTGCGGCTCTGTTGATATTATCTCTATCTTTGGGTTTTTTTGGAGCCCTTTTTCGAATTCTAAATCGATGTGGAATGAGTGGTACTGCTATAGCTGGAATTTGTCAAGGTCGTCTTAGAAGTGGAATTTGTGTTTTATTTACTGCTTTATATATTTGGACTGGCTATCTCAATGCCACAACTCCACCAGTCATTATCAGGTACTGAAACTTATTTGGTTATTTATATAATTCTATCTCACAATTTTAAAAATTTCTGTGAATGAATCACTCAACAGAATATATTTTAACTTGTTACTGGTTTGTAAAGAAAAGTAGAAACTCAAATCTAAGTTGGACAATGCAGTCTGACAGTAGTATTATTTTAAGTTCATATTAAAACATAATCCAACTGTTTGAATTATTTAAAAGTTTAGTTTAATAATATTGCTGGCTGAGTCTATGTATATGATGATTTTAATTTTGTATTAGGGCCAGCATTCCCATTGCAAAGTTGCCTGCTTCGATGAATGGGACAAAGATTGCTCTTTTATCGGATATTCATCTTGGCCCTACTGTTGGATTTTCAATGATGGAAAATGCAGTAAAGATTACAAATTCAATTAAACCAGGTGAGGTCATTATTTTCATGTGATTGATTAAATAACAATAAAAGGTTATAATTTTGAGCTTTTGTATTTTTCGTGAATCACCATTCATTAAATTCTCTTTTTTATTCACAGATATTGTTGTTCTTGCTGGGGATTTAACAGATGGCACAGTGGAAGAACTGAGAGAGGCAGCCTTACCACTGAAAGATCTTGATGCACCCAGTGGATCATTTTTTGTTACTGGTGTGTTAACAATTTCTACAATATATCATAATGTGATGCTAAAAATCATATCTTGAATTGTTGAGTTTGTGTGCTTTGCCTGGATATGATGGATGTGACATGCTTTCTGCTATAAAATTGGTGTATTTCAAATTGACATATTTCTCAATCATAAAATGAGTTTTTCAGTCATTTTGCCACATATTAATACTAGGGGACATCTAACGAAAATCTTTTGTACTGTTTTGCTGACAACTCTTTCTTGCACATATGTGGGGAAATTGAGCACAGATATAAATTTTACATAATAATTTTCATATGGCATAACTTAAAAAAATGAGACTTAAAGGAGACTGAGTTGGACAGGTAAGCAATGCAATTAAGATCTTGAGATTAAACTGAAGTTGCAACTCGACACTCACTAAACTAATGATTGGGACTTGGGAAATATCTGCAAAGATTTTTTTGCGTTTAATAAGCATATTAACGTGGCCTGATTTTTGTCGGGATAAATCTTGAGTACCGGTAATACATTGAAAAGTCCAAACTGTTATTTTTACCAATAATTTCAAATAGTTATCAAAATGTATCTTGGCCGCGAAAAAACTACACTGGGTTCAGTATTCAAATTTTTTAGCAACAGAAAGACGTTGATTTTCCAATGGTTTACCATCGCTGTAAAAATCTCTGTTTTATTTTAAGGAAATCATGAGTACTACACTAGTGATGTTGAGAACTGGTTTGAATTCCTAGAATCAGTTGGTATGTATGAGTTGTATTCGTTTGTGTATTTTAATACCGACAATTTTTAGGGTTTTTATACAGTAAAAATGTTTCCAGCCTGTCATATCAATATTTTCAAATGCCAACGGGGCTACTGTTTTATTAATCATTGTTACATAAAGCTGTTAGTTCTTCAGTAATTCTAGTGGTAGTAGTAGTTCTTATTAAACAAATATGGTAAACATTGAGCTTTTTCTCCGTTTATCATCTTGGGTAAGGTGAAGATAACAAAACGTTTCAATAGTTCATATGGGTTGTTTGTGGGAAGCTATAAATGTTGGTTATATATCCTACCATACACATGCCCAACATATTCACTCACGTGTGTTGTAATAAGCATTGTGAATTGTGATGTGTTATTATGTATATGCGGACTGATTGTACTCCTATTATATAAATCTATGCATTTGTCATTTGTATATTATATTTAGGATTTCATATACTTCACAATTCCAATGTAAAGGTTCATTCAAAGCAAAATAAAAAAGATTGGTTTTGTATGCTCGGAGTGGATGACAAGGAGGCACAGATGATGGGGTGGGTACTGTGGAAAAATACCCATAGCTGAATATTAGTTTGTTACTGCAATATTTTCGAACAATTAATTTGGCAATTATTTTAATATTTATTCACATTTTCCTGCAATGCATCATTGAAAAAGTACATTCCCATAATTATGTAATTATGGCGTCTTCCTCCATTTAAATCCTGTGCATTTAGAAATATCAACTAATTCGCTATTCCCATTCAAAATCTGCACCAGCAACTAAACTTATAATCTGACATATGATTGAGTCGAATTCCGTCTTTCCATCTGACCTGGTTAAATGAGACAAAATCTGATACTTTATCATCTGATATTTTAGTTGATTTTGTGCTTTATTTATCACTATTTGCTTGAAATAAATTATACAGGATTAGATACGAAGGACATGGTGTCGATCTCAAAAAAGCATATTCTGGATGTGATGACAAACATGCGTCTATATTAGTTGCTCATCAACCAAATGTAGCAAAAGAAGCATTGGATTCGCAATTTCCCATTCAACTTGTGTTATCAGGTTAGTTCTGGGTTGTATGAAGATAATTATTTTACTGTACAATCAAATCTGTGGGTGGGCCGGCCTACTACCCCACGCAGGATGTAATAAATTGTGTAGGCAATAACAAATTGGAACAATTCTGGTCTGTCCAAGGTATACTATATATGTATAAAAAAAATTTGAATATGGTTGTTTGTCTAATCAAAATCTTATCTTTCAAAAGTCTGAAATTAAATCATGAATTTTCATAAATTGTTGTTAAAACAGGATTAGCACAATTGGCCCATAGTGTTTAATTTGAAGTGATATCATGGATCTTATCAAATTTGGGGCGATACTAGACCTAAAAGTTAATCAGTATGTTATTGTTTTTCCTGGTGCTTACTGGATACTCCCTAGATATTGGATACTGTCTGTGTTAGCCAAGTGAATATACCCCCTGCCCATAGGCTTCCGTCCCTTTACACAACTTGATGTAAAGTAAGCAAACAAAATTAGTTACCTCCATATTGATACACACACTTCTTGAGCGCCGCTCACTGAGCATGACAGTCCTGATTAACTGTATTACTTCATTGGGCTGGATCTTTGTCTAGTTTTATGTTGGTGTTCTTGTGTGTGAACGAACAAAAGTTGAGGTACTAGTGAGGAATTTGGCGAAGAAAAAATATGGGTATTCCTATTTTGAAATCGGGATCAATTTCTTTGTTAAGAGTTTACGACCCCATTTACTTTATTCAGGTCACACCCACGCAGGACAATTTTATCCAACAGCGTTATTTGTGTATCTGGGAAATGCTTACTTTTATGGATTATATCAATATGATGCTACAAGCTACGTCTATGTAAGCCAAGGTGTATTTTATTATGGATGGCCAATGAGAATAGGTAGTCATTGTGAAATAACAGAAATAACTTTGATATCATCTTAAATATCAGGATTTTTTTAAACTACCAGCATACTTTTCATTATGCATTTAATTACAGCACAGCAGAGTTCATGACCACTTATTATAGTCATTGTGTTATATTGTAAGTCGTTCAAATTTTTGTCTGTGGTATGTACAAAAACTTTTTTATCATGCTTCAAGCTAGGAATCGGGCAGATAAGTTTCTATATTTGAGAAAAAATTTCAATTCTCATTTTTATTTCTGTATCTATAATATGAGTAAATATACTGGTGGATAAGATTGGATATGAGGTCCAGTGTATAACTCAATTCACACAAGCTGCATACTTCCGTATTGTTAATTCCACTATCTTTCGAATGTGGAATTTCTTCACTGAATTCCAACTGTGGTTTCACTCTTGGGCATAATAATTAAGTGGGGTCATGCTGAGGTCACTGGTATGTCCAACCTTCAAACAATGCACCATACCGATCAATAGTCATCAACTCATAAACGAGATAGCAATCAGATCCTCTACTCCGATTCATTAGTGACACTGCGTATCCAATCACTAATTGATAGCTCACTAGTTACACGACATAATTGGTCCGAGATATGGTGAATGCACATGCAAAATTTGGAGCAGATTTAACCTCGCTTTCGTGAGGTATAGCGTAACATACGAAAGTGTCTAACAGACAAACAAACAAACGGACAAATACCTATCAACATACTTACCGATCAAGATCGATAAGCAATAAAAATGTAACGTTTATTAAGTCCATGCTCCCGAAAACAAATAAATGGCTAACCAATCCCATACCCGACAGGGACTGGTAACCTGACGAAATGCAGTGGTCCGCCATATGATTAAGCCGCTTGTCGTCTTTCCTCTCCCCCCTTGATAAATATGTAAATCCTATCCAATTTTTTCCGGGATATAAAACTAATACCGTGGGTTGTCTTGTCAGATGTATATTTATAATGAAACTAATTTATTTTTACTTTTCAGTTACTTTTTCACTCAGCAAAGGGCCATATTTTGATATAATATTTGTATGCATCTTATTGCTTATTTCCTTCGGCATGTAATTATGTACAAGTGAATCAGTAGGTAGAAATGAAATTACATATTAGTACAATTTGTATTTATTTTTATGAGTGATAACTAATATAACACATTTTATTCTTCTTCAATATCAGCAACAATTCAATTTCTTCAAATTGCACTACTTTTTAGTTTTGTACAATTATGTGTTCCTCTTGAATATATGCAAAACATTTGTCAACAATTATGTGATTAATATGAACTAAATTATTTTAATGTTCGGTTTTGTTGTTTTTTATCTGAATACACGATTTTTAAGTTGGCTTTAAAAATTTCAATACTCGTTGAAAGCAGAACTTATGCTTAGTTGAGTGTTTGTATGTCAGTGTATGTTTGTTGAAAGTGTAGTCTGTGGTGTATAATCCTATTTATAATAAACATTGGTTTTTTTCTAACATTCATTTCGAAAACTGATTTTCATAAATATAATTATAAGAACCCCAGGGGGGTTACGATTTGGAAAGAGCTGTGAACACATGAAAGATAGTCAAGAGACTGTTTCGGTCAATGCTGAGACAACGCCGCTGTCTCGTGCTATTTGAATTACTTTTTTATTTATTTTTTCAAATGGAATTAAGCCGTTTTTATTCTGAAATCGATTCGAAATGATGTTAGTATGCAAGTTTATTTGGGTTTTGTTTTCCGTTGCAACAAAATAAACAAATATACGGAATATCAGGTAGATAGGCGAAATCTGAAGAAATTTAAGACGCTCTGATGTGCTATAGATAGTACTCACTTACCCAAAACAGCGAACAACGCATTGAAGTAAATTTGGAAAAAAAGCACGAAATAAATTAGGGCGTAAATACTTGGGTGTGCAGTTTGACGTCGTCGCACACAAGAAACGAATTCCATTGAGTATCATAAATTTTTAAAAAAGAGAAAATTAACTGAACAGTGGTTCAGTAGTTAATGAAAAAAAGATTTTTTACATAACAACATATTCACAAAACGATCCATATGTAGCCTACATTTCGTGTCCAATAACCCGTGTTGTAGTAACATACTCCAATGATTTGTCACTGACTCGAACAAAAAATCACTAAACACTAAAAATTAACTTTCACATTAACGTGGACGGTGAATATTGTCCGAAAATATTTGAACTTGTCGACGATGCGCCGGAAAACGGGGAACAATCAGAAGATTTGGTAACACAAGGCACCGTATGAAAACCATGGTTTAAAAATCTCTGATATTCGGAATAATAACGGTACGCCCAGTTCTGTAACGAAATGTTGACACCTTGATGAAACGTGGTAGACTGCGAGGACGCGTCTGTCATTCTGTATATTCCAAAAGTGTTTTTTTAATCCACTGTTAAAATCTTACAGCTTGCTCCATCAATACCACGTACATGTAGATTTTAGAGACCTGAAAATTAACAATGCTTGCATGCATTGACTGTGACAGGTATTGCACGCTGGCGTTACAATTAACGCGAATTGCCAAATTTATGTCGCTCAGGGGTAAAACTTCTAACACCAATTGAGCTCTTTGGTATAAAAGATGACACACCGTACGGGCATCAGCCACAGAGAAGGAAAAAACGTGCCATGAGCTGTTTCCTGTTTATTTGATCGTTTTTATATCTGAAAAACCCGCTCGATAACACCACATCTAGAAATCTATAAACACGAGCTTTATTAATATGAACTTTACCAGCAGCGATTGTGCATGGCTGATATTGGCAGATAATGGTTTAGTTAGGTCGTAGGTACTCAAAGTGCTCCATACGGAGACCAGGACTCCTCAAAGGTGGGTTATCACGTGAACATTTTTGTGGAAGATTTTATTCTTTATGATTTTTTACCTTTACCGCTTGCATAAAGTGGACTTGGTTTTCTACTTATGAATTTTTAAAAACCTCTTCAACGAAAATCGACCGCAATTCTGAAATGGCCTTTGATGACGTAGTAGTGAGAATTCATTCCAGACTTTGCCTTCGTCGCCCATTGGACGGTATGTTGTTTAACCTCTGTTTTGGCGTCTAAATCTAGTTTCTCATCGCGTAGTTTGATAAAGATTGAAACAATAATGCATTTTTAAACATTAATGCTAATGCACAAGAATTTCTGACTGTAAGGGGATCAAGCCACGGCGTTTTGTGTAATGATCGTACCGGTACCGGTACTGACCGTCCGTCGAAAGTCTTCGAGGAACTGATTCTAGAGTAAGTATTTACCACTTTATTTCGTTTATCGACCGTTTAGTAAAATATTTAGTCGAAGCATGATAATACCCAGTCACACTTTTGTATGAACCAAATACAAATTGCCAATTTGTACATTTACTAATAGAGTGATAGTCTACTACCAGATAAACGTAGAATCCCAATAATGCTTAAGTTTTTTTTATTCATTTCACATTATTATGCAACAAAACACTGTTGTATGTTGAACCGTAAATATATACGTTGAACATTACTAAACTGCCTGATGATATTATCCTGATCTTCATTATGACAGTTCTATCTATTTATTTTGCATACTTTATGTTTTCCAGTTCACACACAACACAGACCAGCTGCCATCGATCAACTAATGGAGATTCGTGACAAAACATTTATTGGCATGAATGAATTACATATGATGAAAACTTGTAATAAATGTTAAAAATAAGCAAAAACTCAACTGCAACTTGGAACAACTGCGTCAGGTATTATTGTTTCGGGCTGTGGGTAGAAGTTTGCATGGGGGTTCCAACTAGGGTTGAATTATCCGGATAGCGGTTAACCGGATAACCGATTAACCAAGAGGTATTTTGCTATCTGATAACCGGATATTATTGTAACGGTTAACCGGATAATAGAGCAGTATAAATAATGCATATGCGCATTAGTGATTTTTATATTTTTTGTTGAGTGGCCAATGACATCTCTCAGAGCATATAATATTCACTTATATCCACACCACTCTGCATATTTTAGTCATCCGTGTAATGCTGGAGTGAACTTGACTATAGTATTACATCACAAAACACGCAGAAAAATGTGATTATTGCGTATTTGCGGTATAGAAGAGCCCGACTTACCTTAAAATAAAAGCATTTCTACTCTAGATATGAAAATAAATGGTAAGCTGCACGAACAAATCCAATTTCCTATTTTTGCTATCTTGAAAATTCATCAAATTTGAGCTATTATTGCAATTCCAATGAATATAATTTATTTAGTACAATAAATGCAGATATTAATTAGCTTATAGTTATATATCAACATTTTCGGGAGAAAAGTCGGGTTCAGTTTCGTCGGTATATAACGCCGATAATTGTTTTATTTCGCCCGGAACTGAAATGGCCGCAGTATGTTATCTATCGTCGTATCTATCTATCGTTAAGAGAGTAGATCTGAAACACACATTTTTGACTGACAATAAGGAATTGAATGCTAACGAAAATACCACGACTCTTGATTTATGAGCCAGTGATAGATAAAACAAGACTCTATTTTAGGCGCTGTTGAATCGCCAAAATTTCGTAATAATCGTATTTACTGAATTTACAACAAGGGTAACTTTTTACGGGATGTAACTTCTTTTCAAATTAAAACTGGCATAATGCCGATGTTAATTCCCCAAATAATAACGCGATGCGGAAGAAAATGATCGGCGATGATAACACAATTAGCCTGTAAAATTCGACCGCCTTTATTAGTGACGTTTTCGAAAATTTCAAAATGAGGAGGAAAAGCTGTTATTACATTTATGGTTTTCATGGAACTTTCACAAACAAATTTGTTTGCGAAATGGTCTATAATATTTCAGAAAAGTTTAATGTGACAGACTCTGTATCGTGTCATGTTTTTCGTTTACTCATTTAGGGTGGTAAGTAAAGTTGTTCAAAAACTGGCGCAGCATTGTTTTGGCTCTGTTAATTTAGTTTAAAAGGTATTCGAATGGAAATAGATTTAAAGTTGTGGCCTAATTAGTACAAACGTGAGAATATTTACAGTGACATGTTAAATAAGTGGAGTTTTCAAATTAGAAGAAATTTCTGACCACTTCGGTTTTTTCATAATCATCAATTTGCTTTGTTATTAAAATTTTTGTCCAAATGACTCATATTTTCCTATACACTTCACGGAATTTGTTCCCCCTATATTCTATTTTTTGGATACTTCTCTCACCGAAATAAAATGTTCGAAATGCACGATTTTTTGTGTTCATAATTTCATTTATATGTATACTCTTGTGGTATATGTTAACAAAGTTTATTTCGTCGTGCAAGAAATCAACAAATATTATAGAAAACAAAATACTATACATGACAATATTAAATTTCATTGCAATTGATAGGAAGGTGCGGATGATCAGAAATGATCGTTGTGAGTCTGCGACACTAAAATTTAGTACGAGTCAAAATTTAAAGAAAAGAGGCTCTAGACACAAAAAGAAACTTTCAAAAAACTTTACAATAAAGTAGAAATAATATAAATCTTTACATATTATTTGAATAGGGAAAATAACTTAGCAGTTGGGGGAAAAAAAATTAGGACACAATATTTTCAAAAAATGTTTCATTTTATTATTCCGCTGTACATCGGTACGACTACTGAGCTTAAATTATTATTTATTGACACATGCAATATTAAAATGCACAATAATTCATATTCAAGAAAAATAATACATATGTGAGTATTTACAACAGAACTGTGTGGTGGTATTCGTTCAATTCACCGCGAAAATCCTGCGAAATCGGTTCTCTAAAATCAGCAGTAACTATCCGGTTAACCGTATATTTAAAATACGGAATACCGGATATATCCGTTATCCGGATAGTGAAAATTATAGGTATCCGAACTAACCCTAGTGATGACAATATGTCAAAAGATTTTTCTGATTAATTTTATGATGAAACGTTTTTTGATTACTCTCCGAATGTGACGCGGGCCACAGAATATGAAACGGCGGGCCACATGTGGCCCGCGGGCCTGGGTTTGGACCACCCTGCCCTAGTCTATAAACATACCGACAATATAACCAAACAAAAAAACTAGTTATAGGATCAGAAAACAGAATAAACCCACATAAATTATAAAATCTGGATAATTTGAGACAAAAAATTGCTTGGTATGCGTTATTTCACTAGAATATATCTTACAGCAAAAGGTCCGGCACAGACATCGAGTATATTCTGACCACGATTAGTTGAGTTTACTATAATTTCTTATAATGCAAAGATATTATTCAAAGATATTGTTATGTATTTAAACCACTGAGGCGTTTTCCAAATGCACCGCCATATAGAACTAGGACACGGTTCAAAATAAGTACACAGAACGCTATAATTGCCTTTGACACAATGCAAAATTTCGCCGACGAGTTCTCACTACAACGTCATCAACGGGACATACTAATTTGCGTTCGATTTCGGCAGGGTTGACTTTTAAAAATTCGAGTCTCGCAAACGAAGTCCACTTTACGCAAACTATACGACACAAATTCTAATAAATTATATAGAATCGTTGTGTATATAGATGTTTGGCCTCTTGATGATAAATGACACGATAAAACCTACTAATAGTTGACATCGTACTATTTTAGTTTTTGTGGAAAAATCCCAACCATGACGTGGGCCGCAAAAAATTGACTGGCCGGCCGCATGCGACCCGCGTATTGGAGATCCCTGATGTACTCAATTAGTTCTATAATGTAGAAAGAATTTCCCCTGGTGTTCACAATCATATATATATATTAAGGTCATTGTAGGTACCGATTTACTACCAGTGTTAAAAGATGACCGTTATATATATACGATAAGCTTATTAGAAACATGAAATTTAACGGAAGTCATTTTATAGTTGCGCTAGAGTATTCGACAGGTAAGCTATGAAAATTGATTATAACAACTGTTCGAGAGTTGTTGTTTATAATGGTACTCCCGTAGTGTGTGTACCAGGTTAGGGTTAGACCATAATTTTTACTCCGATTTTCCTTATTTTAGTTCTTTTACGTGTTCGGGGACTGTCTGTGTTAGCCAAGTGAATATATCTCTGCCAATAAGTTTCAGTCCCTTTACACAACTCCATGTAAAGTAAGGAAACAAAATTAGTTACCTTCATATTGGTACACATATATATATATGTGTATATATATATATATATATATATCGACAGAGTAAAGTATTTTTTTTCACTGCTCATTTCCATTGTATATATATGAACTATAGCGAGAGTGTTAGCAGATACATTAACGATTGTCTTAATTCATTGATTTATCAATATTCATAAACGAGTTCCCGGAAGATCCGAAAGCTTGCTTCTAATTAATTACCGACCCTCCATTAGCGTTGCTCTGAACGTCTTCATATGGTATGACGCAAGAATGTCCTCCTAACAAATTCATTCCAATTTCTGTTGATATTTTAGTGCGTGTGCTGGTTTTCTCAAAGATCATTCCAAGTGATTTTCCTTCCAGCTTGCGGAATCTATTCGAATGCAGTAGGATAAAACAAACAATTGATCTTAACCTAAAATGATCATTAACATCAACTTATCGGCGCAATGATCATTAGATGGATATTTAAATTTGATGGTACGTCTCCATCATTACACCATAGCTTACAAACTGATTTAAAACAATTTCCTCAACTATTTTGAAGCGTAACTTATGAATTAACAGACAAATTGTATTATTAATGGCGATTTATTGCACTTTGAATAAATTTAGCGTATACCAAATTGAATAGATTTATAAAAACCATGCATAAATTGGGCCCCGCTATTTATAACATTTATAAAGGCGATGTCGATGCTTAAGTGTACTTATGAAAGTTTTCCTGGATCACGTAACAGCTGGTCGGTTATTGCTTCCTTCATCATCTAGATTCTAGAACTATACGCTACAATGAAATCGACCTAGAGTATGATCGAGAGGGATTCAAAAAGGCGAGTTCATCATATATATATGACTGAGCTGTCTTATCATCTTTTCGATTCCCAGGATAAACACAGAAACCCTACCCTATTCCTACCCTTCTCAATCTTCCACGACAAAGGAAGACATTGGGAAAGATTTGTAATACCTTTCGTTCAGTTGCTTCATCCTTAACTTTAGGTCAGCAGCACTGCTCAATAAATGAAGAAGATCTTCTCTAGTATAGTCTGCTAGTGAAAGCAAACTTCTTCCTTTCATCGAGATGTCCTGCTGTCGACATATCTGAGCATGATTTGTAGATGCAACACTGTGGGCATGAAAAGGTAAACAATAAACTAACTCTGTTTTTTATTTGTAAAAAAAAGTAGTTTGGGTTGATTTAAATATGTATTTCCTACCTTTTTGGTGATGTAGATTGTTTTCGAATATGAGTAACACATCTGAGTGTATTACATCGAGGCAGTGTTCGATGAATCCACATTCTATGTAGTATGTTTTTACCAAGTTTCTCATATATATGAATATTATTTCTGTACTTTATCCAATTGCGTAAGGAATGAGAAAGTTATATTTGTATATATATATAAATACTAATATAGACAGTATTTCTACATTTTATAAGCTGATAATAAAGGACGTAACCATTCAACGGTAGGTGCATCGTGTGCACTCACTTTTCTCACACCTTTCTCTTCAAACTAGTCGTTTACTTCTTCCGATAACACTCACATATTTTGCTATCAATTATCCGGGCCTACGTTGCCAAAGCTACAAGATTGTTTAGCGTATTTTAAGTATGGTGAAGAAATAATGAACTACTGGGCAGTTCACCGCATTGACGTAAATTACTTAAAATGTAGGTATCAATTACAAATCAATTAAAAGTTAGTCATTCGTGGTAAATGCCTAAAATTGTAGCTTTCAACAGAAATGACAATTCATATTCAAACAATGTTTACTCATTCTAATATTGAGATTCTCAAAGGATAGGCTTATATAAATTTCGTTACAAATTTAAATGACAATTTCTGCCATATCTTTCCGGTTTCAGCATTAATGGATAACTATACCATACTCCAAGTTTGAAGCAAAATCGATAGAAAACCTGAGGGAAAACAGGTGCGACAACCAAACTAATTGCGACTTCCTGGCATACTGCTTTTAGGAAGCAATGTTTTTAAAAACATGTGCGGAGGCACTTTCTCAGTTATGAAGAGTTTTGAATCTCACACTAAATGTAGGTATAGAGAAAGACTTTGGCACGTTTTAGTGAGTTTTTTTTTGTGATTTTCGCATGTTTTAGCTTGATAAATGAGTCAAATGACAAATATTGATCACTGTGTTTGCTCATGTAACAAATTAACCAATAATTTGGATAATGGAAGTCAAATTCTATATAATAATTGACGTAATCGAAATATTGAAGAGATCTTTCTAGTCTTTCTCGTGTATGAGAAAATGGATATTTTCCCATGTCAGGTGACCCATAAACAACCGAAATATTGAAGAGATCTTTCTAGATCATTCGAAATATTGAGTCTAGATCTTTCTCGTGTATGAGAAAATGGATATTTCCCATGTCAGGTAACCTATAAACAAGTGTAATTATTGTAAGAAGGGTACCGAACATTCTAGATATGAGCAAAAATTGCTCCGTGGGAAACGAGATTTTTGGATAATAAAGAAAGGTACCGTTTTTGGCGAGCGAGATGAAAAAGATGTTACCGTTTAAATAGACATTTGATCGTGGTTTTCACGGCTTTTCTATTTCAACTCGTTCGATACAACAATGCTAATTCATCACCGACTTGGTTTTCACGATTGTGAGTGTGTTTTATTGTAAGTAAATTTATTGTGATATATTATCCGTGGAAATAAAAATCTTTACAGGCAAATTGGTCAGATCCTTACTGTTATATAAAATTAACAGATATCTCAATTTGAACACGTAACCTACTATATATTCTGTTTTTGGAGTCAGATACTCATCTAATTCGCTTAATTAGAAAGCAAAGACATCAGAAGTTACACACACTAGAAGTGTTTGTTCCGTATTGCGCTGTTTATCTATTCTTGGCACTATTGTGGTCCCCGAAGAATGCAAAAATAATTTTGTGGCCCCGGAAGCGGACAACTTTGGACCACCCTGCTCTAGAAAATCTAATTAAAAGCTTGCTTCTAATTAATTACCGACCCTGCTTTATTGCTGCCCTGAACGTCTTCATAACGTTATAACGCAAGAATGTCCTCCTAACGCGTTCCAATTTCTGTTGATACTTCAGTGCGTGTGCTGTTTTTCTCAAAGATCATTCCAAGTGATTTTCCTTCCAGCTTGCGGAATCTATTCGAATGCAGTAGTATAAAACTAACAATTGATCATTTAAAAATCTACACATAAGAAAGAATAAAATAACAGTCTTCCTAGCACCGTTGCAATAATTTAGTACAAAAAACCTTGGTGAAGACATAAAACATAAGTTTTGCAATAAAAGGCAGACCTTTATCACGCTTCAGTGATATATATATATATATACCATAAAAGTAGTGAGAGACGTAATTCACAGCGGACACTATGCCTTCAGAGAACCGCGACGTATTATGCATATATACACATGTTTCACGCACTGTCCAGTTCGTCATTTTAAGAGCTGGAAATATCTTGTAATAATATACTTATCTTGGCGTAGGCTACTTTGTGTGCTTTTGGAGGATTTCATTCAGGTGGGCAACTGGTTAACTATTGACCAGACTTCACAAATATATATAATTCACAAATATATATAATTGATGACGCCCTGTTATGTAGTATATATATATATATATATATATCTATTTGCTGCATTCCGGTCACATGTTATTTTTTGCTGCAGTTGGGCTACTCGTTTTCTGTGGCATATGGTGAGCCACTCACAGCGTTATTTTTAGCGGTTTCAATAAAAAATGGTATGACAAAAATTTCACGCAAGTAATACAGTTCGTTTTAAATATAGTGAAGTTGGTGCCCAATCGTCGTCGCCCAATTCCGAGAGACTACGTTATTTAGCCTATTTGCGGGAATGAGGAACATCATTGGATATGGTCGACACCGCGAGCTGGCTATTTAATCATAGTCCATCATTAAAACGTTCACGCTTCCCCTAAATGTTTTGCTTGTAGCCACTGCCCACCTGTTGAATATATTTGTAAAAATATAGTCTGCAAAACGCTCTGCCGGAAACAGAGCTTAATAACCTGTAAAACATGAAATCACTCGAGTGTGACTAGATTGACGGGTACTCGCATCCGAGACCCAAAAACCCGATTTTGGCAAAAAATAAACCTCTTCCTTTGGCCTGATCACTCTTTGTGGGTTTTGTAGACATCGTGACAGACCTTCTTGCCAAGTTTGGCACGGATTAGTTCCCTGTAAAATGTTCGTTTGTTCCCGAAACCCCGAATATACTTTCGTATCAAGTTTCGTCGTGCGTAACGACATCTGACTCCGACTGCGCTTTCGAACTGAAGTGCTCTCGGTTGCCTAATCACAAATGAGTTTCTCGTGTAACAGACGATATTAGACCATGCACATGAAAATATGAGACTACTCATTTAATTATTTTTATACTCGTAATAGATGACACACATGGAAAAATAATAAATTGACAGTATACATACTGAAAAGTATTGTTCAGGAATTGTTCAGAACTAAAATCTCATCGTCTACAAAATTATATTTTGCGAAGTAATTGCAATTTCAAAAATAGAATAGACTATTTTATTGAGGTCAAAGTGTAACCTGAAAAGAGATCTAATAGCGATATTTTGAAAGTTGTTCATAGTGGAGTTTTGAATACCACATGACAAAATTTCCATAATTTCATAAATTGGATTATCTGTTAAATGACTTATTGCTGAAAGTTACGAAGTCGTGAGTTAAACTTCAAACACATATAAATGAGCGAATTTTCAGTCAAACTTAATTTTTTTTTGCATTAGTCGATGTGAGAATTTTATAATTATATCTTAAGGGAGTGGTTTCAATTACCTATATGACCTCGGACCCCAAAATGGAAAATTTGTTCTAGTGCATTTGGATTAAAATTTTTAGTATATTCGGATATATTTCAACATAAGAAAGCTAAAAATGTTATCATCAATAAAATTCGAAAAAATTGGATTTTAAATTTATTTTTTTATCGTTTTTTTCGGCCATCACTTTTGATATATTTGATGAAAACCAATGATGTCAATACCAATCACTTGGTATTTCAGAGACGCATTAAATTCGCAAATAAATGGGGTTAGAAAACTAATTATCGCATATCGAAGTTACTATAGGGTTTCATCGATTATCTCAATTTTGTGCGTTCGATGTCGTTTTTTGTTGTATTCAAATGTATTTGTCTATAATAAGTGCATTACACGTGCTTTACATCACTTTTAGGCAAAAGAACTAGAAAATATCGATTCATGATGTTGAGGGTCTTGAAATCGCCATAATTATTAAGTTGTTTTGCGATAATTTATTGTATTAACAATTGAAAGTATTTATATGAGCAAGTTAAAACTACACGTTGTATTTTGGTACCTCCCACCATTAAATCGAACCATCACCTGAATAATTACCCGTTCTTTGAAATAAAATATATTCTTTCAAATATAGTTACCATTTCCAGAAAACTTTTACCATTACCAGAAACTTTTCCTAATAAATGCAATATTTCGTGTTCTGATGACCGTAAGTTGCATAATTATATATTTAAAACGGGAGAACAGAGGGAATGGGGGTGGAAAACGAAATAACTCGGCATCGTCAGGATCAATTCAGACTTTCCGTACATAGACGTTTCCTAATTCCTGCGTTGCCAAAAGTCTCAGCAACAAATTGTACCCCATTTGTTTAATTAGGAATGCTGTCGCTAAATAATAACATGAGCTTTTAAATATGCCAGAGTTCCAGTTCGGTAGAAAAATTTCAAGAGCTAAGTAGATCTTTCTAATCTGAATTTCAATTTCAGGCAATATATATATCTGAGTGGGATGCGTCCAAATTAGTCCACAGTGTATAGGCCATTAACTGATTTGCTTATTTAATAGTCGGAAAATAGTTACGCCAGTTAATGTAATTAATATTATGAGTTTACAACAATGCGGAAAAATCCTAGTAAAAGTACACAGTAATCAAGAATAAATATCACAATGACCGCTATGTATCACGCACCACACTTTTTCTAGTATTTCGTTGTCAGCGATTCAAAGTCCAGAAACGTTATGAAGGTATTTCGAACAATTTTTACAAAATGAATAAAAATAACCTATATTCATTTGCCAAAATGGGCATGGTTTCAGAATCCAGTTTCATTTTTAAGATAAGGGAAAATCAATATGTAGATCAAAAATTGGTGCGCGTGTTTCGTGCCGAAATTTTAAAGAATTTAAAAACCAATTGAAAGATGCATTATCAGAAACTTAGAAAAGAGGGGCGATATTACATATTAGAAAATAACCTGAGTATCTTTAAGAGAGAATGTAAGAGTAAATTTATTTCTCATTTA